ATATATATGACAGCGCATGAGGAGTTGGGCCCGCGGAATAGGACCAACCCGAGCTGCAACGTCAACAGGTTACACACATGATAGATATAAACAGGTTCAAGTACTTGTACAAATCTTATCAAGTGTAGATTTTAGATACCAGTTCAATGCACGTATTTGTGGTTCCCAGATACCACAATTGTTTTCTGGTTATCACTGTATTTGTGTAATTCTTGAAAATTGTATATTTGAAAAACATTATTTTAATTAACTTCTAAGCTTGTAATTTAAATTAAAAAGTGGGAAGGGCTTCAGTCAACAGTAGAGGGAAGCTCTTCGAAATCTGAATATTTAAAAAAAACATTAATTGAAAACTAAATTTAAGTTTCTAAGTAAACTTGGGCTAAAAATAAGCGCAACACATTTTTAAATCGTAATTATATAATTATATAATTATATAATTATAAAATTGATTATAATTATATTTTTAAATCGTAATTATATGTCTGGGGTAAGAAAAGCGAGTTGGTAAGAAAAACCCAAAGGCCAAGACATTGCCATGCATTAAAGTTGAGGCTGTCAAAAAATTCAATGAATAATGTCTTTTTCACAGTGCACTGAGCACAAAACTTAAGACAGGATATTGTTATGAAAACCAGTTTTAGAACCCGGGTTTTAAGAATGGGGTTAGGCAGTTTTGTATATATCAATATTTTTGTTATGAAATATTATTTCATTTACTTTCTTCATATAATAATCATCTTTATATATATAATATAAATCAAAATCTACACAAATGTTCAGACCACGAAAAGGAAACTCTGAAGTTTCGTTCAACAATAAATTTCGGGCTCTGAAGTTGCCAGCTCCGAACCAATAAATATTATTGTAAAATACCAATAGAAGTAATATATCTTCAAACTGAATGCAAAGAGAGAAGCCAAACAATTAAATATTTTGAAATGTAAAACTATTTCATTCATTTTTTTTTGCTTGGATTCATCAAATTCAAAACATTATGTAAATATGCATTTAATATTCAATTGTGACGAAAACGTTTAAATTAGAAATCATAGTCAGGAAGCAGTCACTTATTGAATGATTTAGATAATTCATTTTCTTAATTTATAGAGAATTGGTTTCTGGGGACATCTAACCCCTCACCCCCCCTCACCCTTTTGGACCAGAGTTAAAAATAAAACAGAAGAATATAGAAAATTTCAGCAATTTTTAAATTACTTTCCCCCCCCCCCCCTCCCCACCCCAAATATTTTCAAATTAGCTTTGCCTGGTTTCTAAACTTTCTATATAAAAGTCAAATTAGAGGATTTAAACCAAATTAAAAACATTCCCGTGGTTCTACTAAGTACATTATAAAAACCCGGTCCTCTGCATGCTACAGTTCAGAATTTAGGGCTGGGCACATTCTGCCTTTTTCAAGTCGTTCGTTAGCGGTCACTTAAAACTGTTATAAAAATATTTTAGATATCAGTTTTTTTCTAGCTAGGAACAAAATGTTTGTTTCGTTACTTTCGGTTTTTTCAAAAAGTTACTGTTCATTAACAATCACAATACTGTTAACGGCATTGATATTTGAAAATTAGCGGTTTTTGCTGTTTGCTCAGTTAATTCTTTAAAATTTCCATTTTATTAATAAAACATTTCTGCAGCCAATGATAATGTACACTAATAGACGGATAATGATTTTAATGTCTTTTAGTTTGTTCCTGCATGGACTATAACTCACCAGTTAGGCATAGTCCATTGGAGGCGAAATGACTAAATATCTAATTTAATGTCTGCTAGTTTGTTCCAAGAACATAACTGTGAATCTAAGAATTTTTTTTTCTTCGAAATGACGCCCACAAATCTTTATTCATGTCTGGTAGTTTGTTCCTGATCTCTTTCGGATTGGACCATTTTAATAAAGACGACTTGATATGATCGTAATTAATGTTTGTTTGTTGCTAGACCGTAGCAATTACAACCTTAAATGCTAATTTTATTTTAATGTCTGACAGTTTGTTCCTGAGCTGTTGAGTACTGTAAACAGGTGGGAAAGATGTGTGATGTATTCTATCCAGTTTGGCCACTTCAGCTCACCCTTAACATATTGAATATTTCAGCTCACCCTTAACATATAGTATATTACAGCTCACCCTAAATATATAGAATATTTCAGCTCACTCTAAACAAATAGAATATTACAGCTCACCCTTAACAAATAGAATATTTCAGCTCATACTTAACATATAGAATATTACAGCTCACCCTTAACATATAGAATATTACAGCTCACCCTTAATATATAGAATATTACAGCTCACCCTTAATATATAGAATATTACAGCTCACCCTTAATATATAGAATATTACAGCTCACCCTTAACAAATAGAATATTACAGCTCACCCTTGACAAATAGAATATTACAGCTTACCCTTAACATATAGGATATTTCAGCTCACCCTGAACATATAGAATATTTCAGTTGACCCTAAATATGTAGAATATTTCAGCTCACCCTAAATATATAAATTATTTCAGCTCATCCTAAACATACAGCATATTTCAGCTCACCCTAAACATACAGAATATTTCAGTCCACCCTGAATATATAGAACATTTCAGTTCACCCTAAAATGAATGAATATATAAGCTAAGCCTAAAAAATACAAACGTTCTAGCCCACCGTAAATAAAAGAATATTCTATGCGCTTAATTTCCAATTTTAAGTTTCAATTCTAATTCAAAACTTCGGATTTTCTGTGGTTTATTTTTATTTGAAATTGAGGGAAAAACGTCAAATAAATGCAATGCAATTTTCAAAGCATTATAGTTGATCTGAATTTTAAAATTTTTCTACTGAATTTCTGAGTGAGAAAATTATACTATTAGTGCGATTGTGAAAATAAAGTGAATATAGAGAAAACAAAGTGTAAAGCACAAATTAATGAAACTAACAGATAGGGCACTAGATGTCGTCTTTTAAAGATTTAGGGGTTTTTCGTTCACAATGACCCTGAGACATAGCCCAAAGGAGTTCCGCGTTGAATTACAAGACAGAGAGAGAGCATGCACTGCCTGCGCAGAACTCCTTTGGGCTTCTACATCAGGGCTCAGAAGTTTACAACTAAATTGTATTAGTTGAATAGTTTTAAAGGTTGAAACTTTTGTGTGAAATCTCTAAACTTAATATTTACTGTGGAAACTTATAATTTCACGATTAAAGAAACTAATTTCAAGTGATCTTTTTTAAAGAAAACAATGCCCAATTTAAGTCATTTAGACCAAGTTATCTTCCAAATTTTTTATCAAAAAGATTTGAGTACGTATTTGATGTGAAAATTATGTTGAAACTTTTGAACTATTATTTCTTTAAAAATGCTAAATCTAAATGTATCACCGAGACACAAATCAACCTGCGATATTGAATAAGGTATTTTTACAGATGAAAACTTAATTGTGTCAAATGAACAGTAGAACTCTCGAGCATATAGGCAGTGTATACAAGCACAATCTTATGACAAGTTCCGACCTTAAGACACTATTTAAGTAGGCATCAGTTTTGTGAACGAACGAAAATTTTTTGTGAACGATGGTGTTGTTAAAAAAAGGAATGATAGTAGACCAACCTGAATCGTTAAGAGAAATTAAAAAAACTAACTTGAAAAACAATCGCTTTTTTTAACAAACTTTTAAACTTAGTTTTTTTACTGAAAGAACGACTTTATTGAACCAATGATTTTACTGAAGGATCGTTCAGTGTGCACATATTAAGTAAGCTGGTTACATTGCAGCATTTCTACATTAAATATCTTTATATATAATATAAATATATATATATATTATTATTATATTATATATATATATATATATATACAATATATACTTTAAATTCCAAACTTTAAGAGTCTGCGGTTTCCGGTTAATGTTGATTATATAGACTTGAACTCCCCCAGCATGTTGATAAACTTTACAAATGAACTTAAAGTTTGTAAAATAAATGATACAGCAGATTTGACTCAATAAACATGGGAATTGAGATCGTCTTTTATTGAAGTAAGAGCTCACTTTTAGTGTAGTGTTATGTCTACACAACCTTTTTATTACAATTTTTTAAATTTTTTTTATTTTTTTTTTTACAATTTGTTTAAAATAAATAGATGATGGTCAAAGCAATTAAACAAGGTGCTCTCACGTCTGTACACATACTCTGCAGTTTTCCAATGTTTTTTTCCTTTGCTTTAATTTTCGATCATGTTCTTGGTTAAATTTTTGGACGTCCCAATAACAACCAATATATTTTCAAATTTCAATTCTAGAATTTTGTTGTAGACACCCCGTTCCTGCAGTCAACATGTTCTTTTTTATTTTGCGGAATAGGCATGTCTTTGTTTTATATTTCACTTTCCTTTGCAGTTACCAGGAATCCTGATTCAATGCTAAAGCAATATGTGTTATGTAATCTGCAAAACGTTTCCATAATATTTAATTTCATTTTACAACCAAGTTAGAGAATTGCTAATTTTTTGTTTACCAATCACAAAATTCAAAACATTTTTGTGTTTCCCAATAGCTCTCCAATTAGGAGGAGTTAGAATGGAAAACATGTAAAATTTAAATATTTCATGATATTTACTTTAGTGCCGACTGTGCAGGTATGTAATCAAAAAACATAAAGAAATGAATTCTAAACTCTAAACTGCAAACCAAGATGTGCAAGCTCTAACTCAGAAATCAAGCAGTATTTTGCCAATTACTCTGTTCAAACTATAGCTAGAAAAAAAAGCTTTGCAAGTACAGCAGACGTAAAAGCTTGCCTGAAGGCATCATCTTGCAAACGAGGATTAGTTGAAATGACTTAAGAACCCTTTTCAAAACAATTATCTCCCACTTTGAAAGGAATTTGATTTTAAACTTAAATAAATTTAGAAAACGAAAATATTGACTTTCATGAAGGAAAAGGGAGAAAATAAAATTCAGTTTTTGAAAACTCAAAATCCAACCATTTTCTAAAAATACGAATATTCGTTAGTTACAAAAAAAAGAGACAATTGTTCTTTCGTTCGATTTTAAAAACATATGCCCCTAACCCTACCAGCACCATGCATTTTATTCACAATTTTGGTTGAAAAGGGAGAAAATAGAATAATTTATTATTGATGTAGTTTGATTTAAACTGGTTACCATATTTAAAAAGTCTTACCCAAGGGAAAAGACAAATATGGAAAAATATTTTATGCCCTGCGTGGCCTCTTTTTAATCTATGGTGAACATATCCTGAAACCCATATATTCCCAGCTGAGCTAGGGTAAAATTGTCCAAAGTGAATAAATACTAAAGTGGAACAGACTAAGGAAACGACGACAAAAAATGGCTAAAATTCACTTCTGAAATCTTAATTTACGTTCACTTATATTTAAGTTAAATACAAATTCAAAGTCTGTGTTTGTAAACAAAGGGAGTCCAGTTTCTGTTGTACTGTACACTCCGTATACAGACCAATTTATATATATATATATACATATTTCTAAATACTTGGGACATAAAATGTCGTCATCCAACTATGAGTTTGGTCCACTTTAGTATTTATTCACTTTGAAAATTGTCACTATTTTCTTATGGGATTTAAAGTAAAATATCACCCCAGCTGAGTACACCTTTCAATATTTGCGCATTTTTGCTTTGAAGTTCCCGCATTCGTTTGAATGATCATCTTCTAGCATTAATATTCGGGACTTTCTTTAATATGTACTTTTTAAAAGTTTAAACTTTATATTACATGTTCTATAATTCACGTGCCATTTTTGTGTGTTTATTTATACAGATAGTGTCAAGGTTTAAATTCATATTTCTTTATATATTTTAATATTTTCCAGGACATAAAATTATCTAAAACCCTACTGGTTTAGGGGGGCTCGTAAAGTATTTTCGCCAAAAGCTTTATACCTCGCCTCCCTTCAATCCTTCATAACCCATGAATAGTTATAAAACAAATATGTGGAATTGAAAAAAAAATAATGATATTTTTTTTGGATTTTTTATTATGCACTTCATTATAAATGATTTCAATTTAATTTTTGTTCCAGAATGTTTGTAAGTTTGACCTATTAAGCATGCTTTTATTCGCCTTTTATCTTAAATACTTTTTTGTCGGTTACATAAAATTATAATATCGAGTTTAAAGATTGTTAAATTAGAGACCAAACGCTATTGAATAAAATTAGAAGAAACCGATTGTCATGATTAATCCGGGATAGAGTGCTTAATTCTTTTGAGTTTGAACCAGAAGTTGATATTCATAAAAGCCTAACTATTCAATTATTTACCTTTTCTTCTCCCGACTGCTTTAGCTCCCAGATATTAGGTATCCAGCGTAGACTGTGGCAAAGAATAAATATAGCTACTATCAGTAAGCTCACCTAAGATTTTATGAATATTATTTCATAACAAATTATTGCTTAAATAAGGTTGCCTTTGACGAATGCCGCAAACTATTTCTAAGATCAAAGACGACTTTCAAGTATTTAATCAATTAATAATATTCCGGTTTATTTAGAATAGCATTGTAAATCCGTTCCCAAATTGTTTAATTCATCATAAGGAATAATCTCATTAGAATGAGAGAGGTTCCAAATTAAAAACACTTTTGATTTTCCTAAATCGTTTTTTTCTGCTCTTTAAAGCTATTTTACTGCTGAAGCACTAAGAAGTTTAGGGGATTTGAATCCAAAAGTTAAAAAGTGTCCATCAAATGAAATCTAAATTTGGTCTCAAGTTTTTTTTTCAATTCTGAAAGAATGTATTTATTTTTGAAACTTCTCAGCTTTGTAAGTTAGGAGTACATCACCGCAATGTTTACAGCCTTGAAGGATCGGTATTTGTAAATTAGGAGTACATCACTGTAATGTTTTCAGCCTTAAAGGATCTGTATTTGTAGATTAGGAGTACATCACTGCAATGTTTACAGCCTTAAAGGATCTGTATTTGTAAATTAGGAGTATAGCACTGTAATGTTTACAGCCTTGAAGGATCTGTATTTGTAAATTAGGAGTACAGCACTGCAATATTTACAGCCTTGAAGGATCTGTATTTGTAAATTAGGAGTACATCACTGCAATGTTTACAGCCTTGAAGGATCTATATTTGTAAATTAGGAGTACATCACTGCAATGCTTACAGTCTTAAAGAATCTGTATTTGTAAATTAGGAATATATCACTGCAATGTTTACAGTCTTGAAGGATCGGTATTTGTAAATTAGGAATATATCACTGTAATGTTTACAGCCTTGAAGGATCTGTATTTGTAAATCAGGAGTACAGCACTGTAATGTTTACAGCCTTGAAGGACCTGTATTTGTAAACATTGTTAAAAGGAATGTTGAAATATTTTGAAAATGTTAAAAGAAGAAAATCTGAGTCCGAATTTAATGAATTTGTGCCGCGTCTCATTGAATACAATTTAAGTGGAACCAACCACTGCTGCGTCTCAAATTTAAGTCGTGGCTCAAATTCTTTAAATTTAGCCTCTGAAATGACAATTTTAGAAAAGATAATTCAGAAAAACAACTTCCGAACATAGAAAATTCTGAGAAGGATGAAATCTCAATCTTAATATCTTTGGTTAGTTTAGGTCAGGCTAATGATTGAGCCAAAGGGCTAAAAGACATGCAAGAGGGAATAAGAGCACTCCGGCTAGGGAAATGAGTAAGGCCAAGTAATTGTTCTTCCCCAGCATTAACTTGACAGTTTTTGACTAAAAAAAACCTGAGATAGTCTGATTTCTCTCTGTTGTATGCCTGTTCCATTGCTGGAGTCGATACAGGATTGGAACACCCTAATCAATCAATCAATCAACTCTAATTAATCGTTTCTAATCAATCAATCAATCATTCAACCATAATCAATCAATCATTCAACACCATTTAACCGATGAACCAACTTTAATCAATTAATCAATCAACTTTCAACAATCAATTAATCAACCCTAAACCATCACTCAATCAATCAACCATAGTTAATTTAACAATCCTAGTTAATCAATCAATCAATCGCGTAGAAAATGTCTCATTTAAATTAATAGATGTTAGTACTTGAATTACGCGCCATTTGCACCATTGGAACTAAAAGTTAATATTAAAAAACTGAGCTCTGAACCTTGTGAGCTCGCATTTACAGGACAAGAAGTTCCTGCACGATTCTAGCTCAGCATTTTAATCGTCTTTCCGCGTTGGGTTTTACCTCAGCTGACGATAGATAAGAACGTTGAGGATAATGAGGAGAACAAGAGGGATAATCCCGTGGATAATCAGGTTGAGGTAGATAATATAAACCTGAAATAGATAATACAGGGTCACCCACAATGAATGATACTGTAAAATGTGAGGATCCCAAAGTTAAATTATGTATTTTGTCTCAGATATTATTGTTATTTATTGATTTTGCGAAAAAATAACAAGTTTCAGTTGCCGGTAATCATGAATATAAGGAAACAGTTCTTATACATTCCATTGTCTTTTAAAGATTTATGGGTTTAAACCCTAAGGCAAAAGCCAAAAGCTTTTGGGCTTCTGCCCAAGGGTTATTGTGAACAAAACACACATAAATCTTGAAAAAGATGACATCTAGTGTCTTATATTTTATATTAATTAATCTCTGACTCTGAACAATTGCTTTGGTTCATGCTCATTGGACTGGCTCAGGTCATAATTTGAGTATACAGTAGTCTTCCTATTTTCTGGTTATCACTGTGGCCCTTAAAGAATAGAATAAACGATGTAGAAAAGAGATCTAATTGGTTTACGTCGTAGGAAACTGAGACTGAACGCAAAGCTGCATTATACTTTCTTTACAGTCGTCTCTGAAGTCTCATCCTTTCTTGTAAATCTGTAGCAAATATTTATTTCAACCATGAGATTTTTATAACTAGAGAATTTCAGGTCATAATTAAAGTATTAAAGTCTCATCCATTGTAAATAACTATGTATGTTATTTAACTGATGACTGATATAGTAAGCAATATTGTTTAAAAATGTTGTGTAAAAATATATATTTCATTTAATCAATAAAAGCAGTTTTGGTTTTGCATTGTGTAAAATTTAAGAATTATATTTTAAATTTTTAATTGTTTCAAAAATTATTTGTAAAGGATCTGAGTTCTTGTCACATTCTCTGATTAGCTTATCTCTGCATATTTGCAACCTGATGTCGGAAACCTTTTATAATTAAATCAGGAATATGTTAGAGCAATTAGTTTGAAAAATCGCTAGGTTGCATCGGGTTGCAAACATATAGGAATTAGGAAATTTTAGATTGTGGCAAAAACTCAGTTTTTTGTTTGCATGCATAGATAAAAAAATAAAGTAATGTGAAATAATACTGCCCGGCGTTGCCGCGGAATTAAAAAAAAAATCAAATATTGAAATATTTAAAATATTTGAAATTTTTTAAATGAAAAAATCGATTTAAAAAAAATCATTTTTGATGACAAAGAATCATTTCTTTTTAGCATAGTTACCCCAAGGGTACCCATTGGTTTCCTAAAATATTTCAGCTAATTCGGTTCAGCCGTTTGGCCAACTTTAGCTGACATATGACTGAAGAGGTTTATATATATCAAAATAAAGTTAAATGATAAACACATGGCGTAAATAGAGTTTACTGGGAGACACTAGGGACCAAATCTAAATTGCCTATGGCTGGTTCCAATCTTACATTACCGAGGTTATCAGGATTTGAACCGGTGGTTGGCATTTCATTGAATTTGGTCCCGGACAGTTTATACAAAAATTGTTTTGAGCATATTTTGAGACAAAAATAGATTAATTTCTCATTATTTTGTATTCTAACCTTTATGTATGTTGGATTGATACGTAGGTCTGTAGGTCCAACTTTCTCAATCTCCTTTTTGTATCATTTTCAAAATAAATAGGTTGATAGAAAAAAAAATAAAAAATATGTTATCTTTCTAAATTTCTTAAATAAGGAAGAAAAAATGTTTGTATGAATTTTGAATTTTGTAGAAAAAAAATGAAAAAAAGGTTGAGATCTAGCCTAGACTCTACGCAGTCTAGAATAAGAAATTCAATCTTTTTTTTCTTAAATTTAACCGCTAAATTTGTACTTTTTTTAGTTTACATCAACTTTTTAAAACTTTTTAATTAGTTCAACTGCTGAGAAAATACGGTATTTTTGCTTTCAACCCCTGGGTTTCAGATTTTTCAACAACTTTTTGCTTTCAATCAATAGAATAATGTTTTCTTAAAAGACTGCTGGGTTTAAGATTTTTCAGAAATTAATTTTCTTTCAACCACTGGGTTTAAGATGTTCAACAAATTTTTTCTTTCAATCAATGGAAAAAATTTTTCTTTACATATACTGCTGGGTTTAAAATTTGAAATAATTTTTTTTTCTTTCAACCGCAGGTTTTAAGATATGTCAGCAACCTTTTAGCTTTCAACCGCTAGTTTTAAATATTACTGCAACTTTTTTTCTTTCATCCGCTGGGTTTAAGTTTTTTCAGCAAGTTTTTGTCTTTTAACCGCTGCATTTTTATCAACAAAGTATATATCATTTTCCCAATCTTATAAGAGCTAAATTTGCATTGTTAGTATTTTCAATTCAGATTTAATTAACATTACTTCTTGCTAAAATCCCATCTATTTGTATAAACGTAATTTCAAGCTACACCCTTCATTTACAGAGGGCCTCGCCGATTCACAGTGTACGCGGTATCCTATCTGATAAATATAGGCGGATGTCATAGATCTTCCAGCATGTAAAGTGTTTAATTTGTAGAAACCCCATAAAAAATAACAAATTTTAAAAAAAATTCATAATTGATCAGAAAAAAAATCTTTTAAAGGTACCTGTCCTCTGCCGCTTTAGTAATTGTAAATTGGGGGTACAGTCCAAAGTAGGACTGCAATGGTTGGCCCAGCTCGGATATTCAAATGTACACCAGGGGGACATGCGGTTGTGAATAAGCTCAACCGCTCAACCGCTCAAGGAGGGTCACAGAGAAGCTATTCTGTTCTCTAAACTGTTTTGCTTTCATGCTTCATTTTATGAAAAAAGTGATAAGAATTAATTTTAAATTAATGGAGATATTGATTTTTTAAATCATGCAATGAAGGGTTGGGAAATTTTAAATATTTTCGAAAGTCAAGAAAGTTTTCAGAATTTAGAATTTATCAATAAAATGCCACTTGTTCAGGGTGTCACTGTGTTATGGACTGTTTATTTTACTTTTTCTTGAAAGTGGTTTTAACCCTGGTTTGCTGGGCTTTTAACCTTAATCCGATTGGGCTTTTTGTCTAACATAGATGGGGGGGAGGTTTGGGTGCTTTCCATCCCCCCTATGAGTTTGCCCTTAGAGTTGAGATAAAGGAGTATAAGATATACCCCTGGTTCAACTTTTAAAGGCCTGCTCATTATCAAAATATTAGATCTTTAATGGTTAGTGTAAAAGGGAGGATTTAAAAAAAAGAGAATGTCGGAAAAATTTTAAAAAAAAAATATTTTTACTTTTGACAAATATCAACATGTGACACATGTTATCAAATCCATTTTTCAAGATTTCAAATATATGACTGTCCTCTCACCCTACACAGTGCGTCAAAAGAAAAATGCTGAGGAAAATTTTAAATTGAAAAAGTTAAGAAGTTTTTACGTCATATTTTAAGCAAGCAATTTTCGGGTACGTTAAAAACAGGTACAACCCCCCCTCCGTCCCCCTCGTATGTTAAAAAAAACAGGAGGACAACCCCCCCCCCTCCCGCCTCCGCCCCCCCTTATGGTTTAGATGAAAGGTGTTGACAAAATTGACATAACATTGAGGTTTACTTTAATCTATTTTCAATTTTTTGATGTTAGTCTATATCTATGGAAATTTTATATAAAAACAATTTTAATACAAATATTAGATTTATGATGAACAACTTTTTATGAAAAATATATAGAGAATAGGCTTTCAGGGCGCTTACCACACAATTTCTATTTCAACTTTTTATTGTGGCTCTATCTGTGAGTATCTTCTCTTTGTACAATATAACACACAAAAAAAACACAAAAAAGTCCATAAACCTTCCCAAGTTTCCTAGGATCATGTGAGGTCCCAACTTTTTTTGGCCCGATCTGTAGAGCCGTTTTGACGTTTATTGGTCACAAACCAACAAACAAACAGACAAGAAAATTTATACTAAAACACAAAAATCGTTAAATAATAATTACAAAGGATATTCAAAATGGTTTATATTTTGTTTTCTTGTTTTTTGCAAATTGAAAAATATTGTTTTATCGATTTCGGATTTATTTCCCATGATGCAGATAGGGTTTTTGCCTCAGATAATAAATATTTATAGACTTGGATTTGACAGTATTTGTAGTACTTGTAACTTGGATCGAGTCTTTACCACAAACCATGATTTTCTAATCCCTATATCTTTGACTTAGAGACTTAGACCATTGATATTTCCAACTTTGGATCCTGTTAGATCAAGTAATCTTAGTTTGAAATATTGAAGGTGTGTACACCATTAGGTTGCAAAAATATAGGAAGTATCAAATTTGAAGTAGTACCAAAGATTCAAATTCACTGTTTAGCAGTCAACATTATAATTTAGTTTAATAAATCAAAAAGAACTCATTTTTTATTTTAATTCTAAATTGTATTCTTATGTATTACTAGCTAAAGCGCTCGCGTTGTCCGGTCGTGGAGTTTAAATGACAATTGAAAAAGGAAATTTCAAATTTTGTAGAAAAAAGTCGAATTTGAGCAAAATGACTCCCCAGGCACTCATGAGTTCCTTCTAAAATTGCAGTCAACTTGGTCCAGTAGTTTGGCCAGCTGTAGCTAGCTAGCACATATAGATATGTATAGGAAGCTATATCTAGCTAGCATATATAGACATGTATAGGAAGCTGTAGCTAGCTAGCATATATAGACATGTATAGGAAGCTGTAGCTAGCTAGCATATATAGACATGTATAGGAAGCTATAGCTAGCNATGTATATATATATATATATAAATATTTAAATATATTTAAAGATACGATACTTAATAAATCTTCAAATAGTTGTAGATATTTAGCGAAGAGGTTTATTATATAGATTATAAAGTATTTTGATTTGATTCCTTCTGTATTGTAATATTTTTGAGTATTACAAGCTCTGTGCTGTTTCCAGAGACATCAACCTCCTATCAATCAATGATTGTAATCCCAGGGACATTTCTAATATTTTTGAATTGCACAGTTAATTTTTCAAATTACAATAATATGAAAATTGATTCAAACAGTTGATGGATTGATTGATTACTTGAATGTTTGATGGGTTGTTAGGCTGATTGATTGATTTTTTGGTTAATTATTTGATTGATTATTTTATAAGTTGATTAATTGATTGATTGATTTGATTTATTGATTGATTTGCCTGAGTGAGATTTACTATCTTGTCCTGAATCTCTAGCTCCAGAAACTTGGGAGTATTGTAGAGGATGGAGAAGAGGACGATTGGAACGATGTAGGTGCAGGCAGACCAGGCATGAGAGATCTGAGGTAAACACTAATAAATCTGTTCATACATCAAATCTCTGATAGCCGACGTCGAACATCAAAAATCAAATTTTTTACCCCATCTTTGCCATTGGACCATATAGTCGGTTTAAATGTTTCCTGGGCAGTCAGAACGATCTGTTCTCCTATACCCCCTTGCAGTTCAACTAAATATTTGGACAAAACTTTTAAATTTCTATTTCTATTTAATTGCGGATTTTCTGTATATCCCAATATCATTAAAAAATTAATTATACGCTGGGCCAGGAGCGCCCCGCAATATGATTATACATGCTGTACAGACAGTACTTTATTTGAATAAGAAATGTTTGTCTGATGTACAATTACCTCTTATACAATAACCTATTCTGAATACTTCTTATACAAATACTACCCGTCTGCAAAGCATGCATAATCATATGGTAGGGCGGACCGCGTCCGTTGTATCTCCTTTCTATTTCACACTCCTTGGCACTGGATGTTAAGTTTAGTATGATGCGCTATCCCAGGTAAAAATTTTTGCCCCTTCTTTTCCATTATAATTCTATATTTGTTGTTATTGTAAAGGGTTTGATAAATAATGGCAGCAATTGTTATAATATAATTTGAACATCAGAAGAGGCAAATACTCCCGAGTTTAGAGTGCATACACTCCAGCAAGCTTTTTATATGTATGAACCTTGGAAAATAATTTTTTTAGAGCTATCATTATTATGATATACGTAATCATAATTTAATAATTAAAAATTTTACCTTAAAGAAGGGATGGCACACTGTTGTGTATCTCTCCAATGCAATTGCTACCGTCAGATATATAGATCCTGAAATAAAGATAATGGATTTGATCTTTCTAGTCAATCTGTAAATATATATGCCCGCTTATGTTTCCTACCCGTCAGATATATAGATCCTGAAAATATGATTAGATGGATTTGATCTTTCTAGTCAATCTTTAAATATATATACATGAGACATGAGACCCAGATGCTTTACCTATATCAAACCCACAAATATCTGTTACCTATCAAAACCACGCAAATCTGCCCCTTTAGTAAAAGTAAATTTAACCTAAGCATAAAGTCTGACTGTGTCTACCTCTTTGCATCGGCTAGTCCTGTCCATAGAGCTAGGTACAGTACAAACTGGGATCGGAAAGGTTGACCCAGCTTGGAAATTTAAATGTACTACGGCTGCCCAGGAAGCCATGTGCAAATAACCGGGTTGGATGATGCAACAATTGAAAAGGTGTGATGGGGTACCTGTAAGGTGTGATGGGGTACCTGTAAGGTGTGATGGGGTACCTGTAAGACCCACATGAATTAGAGGAAGTAGAATAGGAACCAGATGCTTGAAGGTTGATTGGTTGTAGACAGCTGGGTAGAGACTTGGTATTCCTGGTTTATAAATGATAATAACAATAACAATAATAGTAGTAATAATAATAATAATAATAATAATAATAATAATAATAATAATAATAATAATAATAATAATAATAATAATAATAATAATAATAATAATAATAATAATAATAATAATAATAATAATAATAATAATAATAATAATAATAATAATAATAATAATCATAATAAAAATAAAAATAATAAGGATCATAATAACAATAATAATAATAATAATAATAATAATAATAAAAGTAAAAATAATGATAATAATAATAATAATAATAGTATTAATAAAAAAAAAATAATAAGAATAATAAGAATACCAAAGAGTAGGATGCTTGTGACAATATAAAGAATATCGTAGATTGCGAGGGTGAGCATCAATCTATCCAGACAACAGAATTCATTTTCAAATAATTAAACCACATTGTGTGGATATATACATATACATACTGTCAATAACTAAACCACATTGTGTGGATATATACAAATACATACTGTCAATAACTAAAAGTAGATTGGATGTTCAGTTTATAAAGGGACTGTAAGCGCAATTTTAACTGACCCTCCGTACTGAGAGGAAAATACTTGATTTACAACATAATCCTCTAAACCTTTGTTACACTATAGTTTGTGTAGAAGTAAATATTTCCATTTATAGTGCATAGCGCCGATTTAAGGGTTTATCTCTAATTGGATGATGAGATAGATAGAAAGATTAGAATAGACACCAAACACATGGCTGAACTCTGATTGGAATAGGCGCTAATGGACTCGCATACAAGAGTTACTGTTACTGTTACTGTGTCGAGTACAGAGATATCTGTATGATAATTTATCGAACCCAGCTTTATTCAGCTGAAAATTGCTGTGTGCGCTGTGTTCAGACTACCCACAGGGCACACTGTACTGTACCCAGCTAAATACAAGGCAAGCAGGTTTCGATAAGTTTACACACACATATGTATGTACTCAAACACACAAAGGTGTTTAAGGGTACCGTTGTAAATCGGGCATTGAACTCTTTGCACGGAGGGTCAATTGCAAATTCCGCTCACAGTCACTTAAAGTCAAATCCATATCTATACTTCCGGAATTAAATGTCACTCTGACTCCATAGTTTCAGTAAAAGTAAATATTTCCATTTACTGATAGCGCCGATTGAAGGATTCATAACTCTGATTGGATAATGAGATAGATAGAAAGATAGATGTTACCGCCATACTATTTCAATTGGTTCAGAATAGTCACCAAACACATGACTGAAACTTGATTGGATCAGGCGCTAATGGACTCCGCATACAGGAGTGCTGAAAACAATTTGATATGAAAAATCTGACATTGAATCATGTAACAAATGCGAAGGCCTGAGAAAAAAAAAGAATCGTCTATGCCAGGTTAAAAAATTCCTAACTTAGAAAACTTTTGTAAATGTGGTACAGTAGCAAATAGATTATCAAGTACTAGAATCTATTTGTGCAGTAGTATTTTATGTTGGTATTTTTTACCTTAGAATAAAAATAAATATTATTACAAAGTCAGTGTCATAATTCCTTATTCAAAACTTTTCTGTTTTTTTGTACTTTTTAAACTGAAAGAAATGTTTTAGATTCTTTTTATTTGGTGTAATTTTCTTGATTGTAAGCATCTTTAGCTTTTTACACAGCATTACACAGTGTTTTTTCCTTTACCAATGTGTAACGAAAAAAAATTCTCTTTTGGGAAAATCTTGCTTCTTTTGTTTATAATTTCAGACAAAAATTATTTAGAATCAAAGACTCTTACTACATCAAGCTATTACTTAATTCAATTAGAATTTTTACAAAACAACGGGAGGGAGCGGGGAATCCATAGGAGGGGGAAGAGGGGATCCAGGGGAGAGGAAGAGGGATCAAGGGGAGGGGAAAGCGGGGGATCAAGGAAAGGGGAAGAGGGGATCAAGGATAGGGGGAAGAGGGGATCCAGGGGAGGGGAAAGCGGGGGATCAAGGAAAGGGGAAGAGGGGATCAAGGGGAGTGGGAAGAGGGGATCAAGGGAAGGGAAATCGGGGGATAAAGGGGAGGGGAAAGAGGGGATCAATGGAAGTGGCAAGCGGGGAATCAAAGGGAGGGGGAAGAGGGGAGAAAGGAGAGGTAAGGTTTCAGAAATAAACGTGGAGTCTTCTGATTCATTTAAATCGAATTTATATGTAAATGTGTAAATATATTTAAATCAAATATACTTTTTGCTTAATTTACTGGCGTTCACCTCTGCAAACAAATACCTCATGAGTATGATTATGTCAGCTTTTTAGAATACTCGAAATTAATATTTATGTGCTTTTTTTCCTGTTATCAAATGACATAAAATTGTAAAAAAGAACGGTCGATTTAAACTTTTCTTTGAGTTTTTGCCGAACTCCAGGCTCATAGGACTAAAACCCGTTACCGCAATTGATTTATAGCATTTCAACAAAAAAACTACTTGTGGAATAATGTTTTGTTTTATAAATAATTTTAATATCCAAATCATAAAGAGGGGAGTGGAATGAATTATACATTCAAAATAGGGAATACATCCTTCCAATAAAAATATGTAAAAATAACATTAGTATTTGATAAATTTTAAGATTTATTTTTTATTTTTCTGGTTTGGCTTTCTGAATGCATGCATAAATAGTTTATGAATTATTTCACTTCCAATAATTTTGCAACCGAGCAAAATATTTTATTAAGATTGAAACTATTTCATCAAAAATTTAAAATCCTTTTTGCCCCAGCAAACAATTATTTAGTAGGAATTTAGAAGCAACATTCATTAAAGAAAAAAAGAAAACTCTGAGAAATATTTTTCCTAAAAAATGTTTTTTTTTCTTATTATTTTGATAATTTTCTTTGGATTTTCAAGACAAAACCATGCATCATAAGTTATTTTTGGCAATTCAAAAATGTGGTCTGCCTTTTTTGTGCTTTAAAAGTTCCGAGATACTAAGAATTCCTTTGAAATTTTGACAATTTTAGTTTTATTTGAAAAAATTGAAATCTGAACGAAATTCTTAATATCTCCGGTAATACTAACATCTCAAAATAGGGAGTCCACATTTTAAAATGGCAGAGCTCCGAGAATATTTTGAATATTTGTTCAAGAATCATTCGTGGAAATGTAGGAAATGTCAAAAATAAAATGAAATATCTAAGACGACTACTACTGTCATGTGTCGTTGGACACCCTGTACAAAGGTCAAACCTTCAATTATATTTGAATTCTCTTGTTTCCTGTGAAAATTCTTCTGAACTGCCATTCTTGAGAATGTAATAATACAGAGACAGTTACCAATAAGACCCAGGCCACCGATACACACCTAGATTTTCTTCAAGTTTTTGCCACAAACTCAAATTTTATAATCCCTATATTTTTACATTAAGATTGTGTAAGTCTTGGAAAATTCATACTTAATATAACAGCATTCATAGTTTGAAATATCAAAGGTCTAAACCATTGGGTTGCTAAGATACAGGGATTATAAAGTTTGAGTTTGTGGCAAAAACTCAATTCCTGACGAAAAATGTTCAAAAAGATGTGATATGAACCAACATGGGATATCAAAGATGAATTAAATTAATATTAAAGATAAAGATCAATGCTTGAACCTGGGATTCAAAAATATTTGCAAAGAGTTGTGATTTAAAAATTAAAGTGTCTGAATTTCCCTTTAAAGAGTTTATAATTAAAAATGTTTAGAGTGTCCTTTTGTCAAATGTTTTCCAAATGCAATAAATGCTGACTGAAAGTGGGTCCAAATAGAGATAAGGTATTAGAGGAGATGAGGTATTAGAGGAAATACAAGTTTTGTACGCGTGTGGCTCTGTAAAATGATTGCAACCAAATATTTGTATCACAACAATAACAAAGATTATTAACAAAGAGTAGGACTAGAGTAGGACTAGAGTAGGACTAGAGTAGGACTAGAGTAGGACTAGAGTAGGACTAGAGTAGGACTTTTCCAGGGAATTGTTTATTCGTCTGTGTTTATATTGTGGCGGAAGACGATCTGAGTCAGAGCCGGATACGAAGACGCGGCAAGAAGAGCAAAATATAACTAAACAAGATCTGTAAGCGTAATTCCAAGTCACTCCATGGAAAGATGGCAACGTCCATTTTACCAATTAAATTGTCAAGTACTTGACAATTCTATTTGGATATAACTGTTTTTCTTTCTTTAAACTTCTTATTTTCATTTGCGTTTTCTCTGCTAAAATGACAGATATTTGAACACTTTTGTTCAAAGTGTAGATGAATCCTCCCAAAGTTATTATCTTTAATTCATATAGTTTCTCTTTAATTAAATCAATTAATATTATTGGAAATACATTATTTCTTTTCCTACTAAGTTGTTATTTACAGGCCCGAAGAGAATTAGTGCAAAAGTGTACTTTCCCAATGAATGATTTTTTTGTAAGATATATCGAAAGAGAATAATATATATTAGAGTGGAATTTAGTAGAAAAAAGTGTAAAACGGCCATTTTGTTGTACTGTTTCCATACTGCAGGTATACTTTACATATTTGCGCTATATAACCTTTTGGGCCCTGGAACATCATTTTATAGAAAATCTAAAATTAATATTAAAAGAAACCAAATAATGAAACAGGCTGGTTTCATAATTGGCCAACGATCATTTCACATAGACTCTATGCCTTTTCAAACGATGATTTTCTGTTATAATTATAAATCAAATTATGTTTTTTATTCACCTAATTCATTATAAAGTTTATTTAACAGCTTTAAACAATTCAACATTGAAATGGATAGTCTAGGGAACATACTGTATTAATGTACTATACTGCATATAATTTGTGAAAATTTACATGATTTTCTAAATTCCACTCTAATATATATTCTATTCTCTTTGGATATATCACACAGTGATTTAAAAAGTTTGCATACTCTTCACACAAAATTGATGATAATTTTACCAATTATTTAAAGGGAATGTTCTGTGTTATAAATACTTATTATATAATTAAAGGGACTGTTCGTGTTATTATGCTTATCATACAATTAAAGGGACTGTTCTGTGTTATTATACTTATTATGTAATTAAAGGGACTGTTCTGTGTTATTATATTTATTATATAATTAAAGGGAATGTTCTGTGTTATTATTCATATTATCATACAATTAAAAGGACTGTTCTGTGTTATTATACTTATTATATAATTAAAGGGACTGTTCTGTGTTATTATACTTATCATTTTATTAAAGGGACTGTTCTGTTTTATTATACAACGTACCAATTCAAAGCTTGATTTCATGAATACTGCATAACGTATATCGTAGTTCTAAGTTTCCTCAATGTTTTTAATGCAGAAATACGCTATTGGTAAATTCAAATAGAAACCACAATTGAAAATAATTCAAAAGAAAATTATTAATTTCTCATACAATTCTGATCCTAAAACACTGTTGTGGGTACTGTTGTGAATCGGACATGACATTCCTTCAAATGGAGGCTTACATGAAATTACAAGGGAGAGTGATGTTTTCACTTGCAGCAAAATAGTCGAATAAAAGGTCCAATTGTATTTAGATTTTAATATCATGAAATAGCAAATGACACTTATTTCATAATTGTTATTTTGAAGAATCTTATCCAAGTTGATATTAAACCTGTATCAACTTTCTTTTGCATATCCTATTTCTACAGTTATAATGCTTTTCTAGGCAGTGCCTTGTCATTATGTAATCTCTGAATATATAATTGTTTTTGTTTAGCAAATGTTTTTTTAAAGAGACTGTTAGCTAAACATTATTTGCTTTCTTAAAGAATTTATTTCGAACGTACAATTTGAGACCCATAAAACGAAGGAATAGGAAGAGAAGAGATTTAAACAATCTGATGAGAATTTGATGTTGTTACAGTTTATTGAAACCAAGGTTATAATGCAAGGATATTTATTTCAGAGGTGTACGCATCTTTTGTACTGCAGTGTACTGTCTCTGGGCGGTAATGTAAACACAAGGCGGATGTCAAAGCCTGACATGGGATCCATCTTTCACATAACAATTCAATAAAATATTCCGTACATAGGAAAATTTTAAGTGAATTATCAAAATTATCAAAATTTAATGCTTTTATCCTCCTCGGATGCGAAAAGAACACTGATGCATCTATTCTTGTTTACAAATTCCGCCCAGAGAGAACTTGTTTTAATATGTACTCAAAGTATACGCAACTGCAATTAACTTTCATTGCAGTATAACCTTGATTGAAACCAATCTATTGTTAGATGCAATTGGTATGAGTTCAATGTTGACTGTTCAATGTTTAAAATTATAACTCTAGACTAAAAGTCGTCTTCATAGTCCACACTTGTATGTGTCTTGCTATATGTTTTTTTCTGTTCAAAGGGAATCTAAACGAAATTGAAAGTTACTTTCCATCAAGTGATGCACTTTAAAGAGGTGTCATCAAAAACTTACAAAGGTGATTGTAATTTAACCCTTTTTCCATGTTTTTGGACACTACTTAAAAATTATTAGTCTGACGCTATTTATAATTTTTCAAATAACGCTCCCCCCTCTCTAAAGGCTGAACACAAAAACTATTGGTTTAAGTCTCTGTTTCTACTGCCTGAATGCCTTATTTTACCAATACCGAACTAAGGAATTGTAAACAATAAAGTGTGATAATTCACATTTTAAATTTGCAACATGTATTCTACTCACCAAAAGAATTCCCTCCATGATGAATCCAAACAACCGTAAATGTTCTTTATCCTCCATCTTTTTCTGAAATTGAATAACATGATAAATCTATTTTAATCCTAATGGTTTGCCATCCGCGAATTTAACAAACATGCACTCATCTCCCAAGAGACAATAAAGTAACATCACATGTTACGCGACGAAATCGCCACGTTATGAACTCCCTCACCCCTGAGTTCTTCATGCAAAATATATGAAACCCCTGAGGCCGTTTCTTACATAAACTTCATTTGTCGACAACTTGACGTCTCCTATATTGGTCGTGAAATGTATCAGATAAGAATCTAGCATGAGACATCTAGCGGCCATAAAAAGTCGGGAGGGAAACAATTCCGTTGCAACAACGAAACTAGTTTTGATTTGGAAACTTTACCTTACATTTACACTGTATCCTCCATTTACAGTCAGTTAAACTTGATATTTTGATACATAAGTATTATGATGTTATGATTCATGAACGGCACATTAAGGTATTAATTAGATATTAATACTTTATTTATGCAAACCTGATTTTTAAGTCCTTATTAGCCTTGTGTTTTGATTAAAGAATATTTTTCATGTAAAAAGTTCGTGTAGTTTTGAGTCATGATTGATTATCTAGTTCTAGTATGTCTATTGTACACATTTTTCGTAAATTTTATAAACATAAATTACGTTAAATTAAATAAACTAATTAGGGCAATCTATTCAGATTGATCCCGTCTCTGGAACAGTTCTTGGATTATTTTATTCCTGTGATTCGAGACTCTGTCCTGGTTCCAATTTTAACCCTGTAATTGATCATGACGAGGTCAATAATACTATAGGATATTTTAAGCGGCCGGATTTTGGTCGCGAAATATAATATTTCAGATGATTTATTTTGAAAAAAAAATTAAAATGTGTCTAAAATGCATGATCTTTTTGTTCTCTTGATGAGGAAAGAAAATAGATTTTTGAGTTTCAACTATTTTTTACAAATATTAGATTTGTCATCACATTTTTCAAGAAAAGATTATAACTGCAAAAAATCATGTGTTTTGGTTTTATATTTAAATATCAGCATAGGTAATTATTCAAAAGGAATAAATCACATGATTTTACTTCAAGATTCAGAAAAAAACTTCATAAATTCGATTTTACAAATGTTTTAGTTTGAGAAATTTGAGACATTAGCATAATTTCATACATGTCTTTAAACTTTACCAACTTTACAGTGTACAAATACTTTTTTGGAATTCAATTGTTTTAAGCTTTAACCCTGAGAAGAAATAAAGTTCAGAGATACTCAAGTATTGGAATACCCAAGAAAATTTGTTAGAGTCTAAGTAAGATAATTGCACGTACGTAAACTGGCTAATTTTTGAAAGATTTTGACACTTTTTGTTGTTGGTTTGTTTACACATTTGAGATTTGTTAGAATATATTTTACTCTTATTCGTGACAAATATTATCCTGTTAAACATGTTTTTATATCTTTCAAGGTCCATTAAGAACGCTTTTAAGATTGATTCGGCTCAATAACGGCAGCGCAAGACAAATATTAGCAAAACTACGTTATGGAGAAAACTGGGGGTCACTGTAAACAAGAAAACTAAATCTATGTGACATTACTAGACCAATCTCAGCTCCTCTAGTTCTGATTTTATGCAACAAGTGTAAGAAAAGCAAATTTATTCGTTTACATTTGTTTACATTCGTTTACATTCATTTACATTCGTTTACATTCGTTTACATTAGTTTACATTTGTTTACATTCGTTTACATTCGTTTACATTCGTTTACATTCGTTTACATTCGTTTACATTCGTTTACATACGTTTACATACGTTTACATTCCTTTACATTCGTTTACATATGTTTACATTCGTTAACATTCGTTTACATTCGTCTACATTCGTTTACATTCGTTTACATTCGTTTACATTTGTTTACATTCGTTATTATTCGTTTACATTCGTTTACATTTGTTTACATTCGTCTACATTCGTTTACATTCGTTTACATTTGTTTACATTCGTTTACATTTGTTTACATTCGTTTGCATTCGTTTACATTCGTTTACATTCGTTTACATTCGTTTACATTTGTTTACATTCGTTTACATTCGTTTACATTTGTTTACATTAGTTTGCATTTGTTTGCATTCATTTATATTTGTTTACATTCGTTTGCATTTGTTTGCATTTGTTTACATTTTTTACCTTCGTTTACATTCGTTTACATTTTAGAAATTCAGAACTTTTGTGTTATTCTCCATATCTCTTTAAAAATATGAGTTATGATGGATAAAATACAAGCTTTCAATCTTATTGGCAATTTACTATTGTTAGACGGGGGGGGGGGGGGAATCCCCCCCACTCACTTAAGCAATATCTTTACTCCTGATGAAAACTACATTAGGACTTTGGGTTACAAACCTGATTAGAGTTTATTGGTTTCTTTAATTTCATTACAAATCCTAGAAAATAATACAATCTCACTTTGTTTATACAGGGTGTCCCAATAAACATGGGAATTAAATGAAGACTTCTATATCGTCCTCGCTCCAAGTGGGATTATATTTCGTAAGTATAATATTGTAGTATCCCAGTTAAAACATTTAACACAGAAACCAAATATATACTCGGGATTTCCAAAATGTTGTCTACCATTTTGTCAACTTCAAAATTGGCTTAGAAATTGGATATTTTTCCAGATTCCAGTTAATTAAAATCAACAAAACTCTTTATTATCTCCGTCAATTTTTAAGATACAAAGAAGGTAGACCACATTTTGGAAAGCTCATTAGACGTACAATCGTTTTTTGATGCTTTCTATGTCAGTTCTCAAATATCGGAAATCAAAGATGATATTCAAGTCGTCTCTCAATTCCCATGTTTATTCCCTGTACAGTTTAACAACATTGAAAGAATTTATAAAATGTCGTTTTCTAAAACTTCTGATAATGGAATGCTGCAGATATTTAGCTTTTTAATTGAATAATTATATGCTGCTCTTTAAAACTGTTATAATAGTAAAAAGAGGCCCTTTTATAAATTCTTTTGATGTCTCCGATCGAAATTCTAGGTTAAGCTTATGTAATTTCACTGAAGTTTAACTTATAAAAGAGGAGAAATGGGAGTTAAATAAAGTTTTGATTTTCATAACAATTTTTGTTCTTTATATGCAAGAAATTTAGTTATGAATCTGCCAAAGTACGTGATGACGTTAAATAAGATAATCACACAAGGAAACCGGGAAAAGAATGTTATTTTTTTAACATTTTGTTTCCATCAAACTAAAATGAATTGCATGTGAAATGGAAATATGTTATGTTTTCCATCATAACTCCTAAAATTTACAAAAATAATTGAATTTCTAAAATGTAACTATAAAGTAAATTAGTTTTCTCGTACTTGTCCATGAAATGAAATATCTCGAATGAAAACATAAAACCTGAAAACTAGAAAACATTTTTATTTTAAAATAATGTTGTGTTGATCATGATCCCAACCCAACGAGGTTATAGTGTATAGAATGATGATGTACGCCATCCTTTACTGATTGTACAGGCTATCAACTATACCGAGAGCGTACTGCATATTTGATTATTATAAGGAGATTCTGGCCTAACCTATATCATAATAGTAAACAGATGTAAGCTAACTGTACACACTGGAAGAGAATTCATCCCCCCCTGGTCCCAACTCATTAGAGTTCCACATTTTAAAAAATATTTTACGGTCTGGGTTAATCTCCTAAAATAAAGATTCATAACGAACATTTCTTTGGTTAACCCTATCACGGTTGGCTTACCATAGAACGCCAAAATTCTTCACTTTTTCAACATCATGTTTGTGAACAATTAAATTTTGCCAAATTTTTTTTTTTGTTGCAAAGGGAAGGGTTTGAGAATAGTCAAACGGTAAGTCGGTGTTTTAAAAAATCAGAAATGGTTAAGTTAATAACTTTTTTATTAACTAAGCTACAGGGCTAAGACTTATATTTTTGAAAAGGACTTGAAAAGTAGATATAGAAACATATGTCATATGTTAATTAATATTTGTCAAAAGTAAAAATAATTATTTATGAAAATATTTTCGACGTACTTTTTGAACTTTTTAAAAATCCTCTCTTACACCTTGAACCATTAAAGATATAGGTCGAACTTATTTTTTAATGAGCAGGCCTTGAAAATTTGGACTAAGGACATGTATCACACTACCCTGTCTCAACTCAGGGCAAAATCAGAAGGGTGGGTTGGAACCCCCCCCCCCCTCCCATCTATATTATACAAAAATAGCCCAATCGGGATAGGGTTAAAAAATATCTTTGCAAAAATTATGAAAGATTAAATAACAATAGTAAAAATTGCAAACTTAATTTTTTAACGATATTGGAGAAACTGAGTTCTAAATCTGCATTAGTCTAATATCGAAGAAGCTACATTGAACGAAAACTTGCATGACAAAAAAAAACAAAATTGAGAATACAAAGAGTTATAATATTCCTCACTCATGATAAAGCTATGACTTTGATTTTCAATAGCTTTCATTTGTTAACCCTATTTATCCTGACGTCTGATCTCATGACTTGTTCCCGAGGAGGGGGGGGGGGGGGCAAATTGACCCCCCCACTATTTTCTTATTGTGATACAAATCTATAAAATATGATACGTTTCTGGAAAGCCCTTGGGCTCTACTTCTATAATCTTAAAAAAATGGTAAATTTTCAAAAAATCCAAGTATGTATTGCGAAATCTAGTTATTCAGCAAAAAATGTGCAAAAAAATTGTACAAATTGCAGAAATTATACATTTTTGAAAAGCCATGACCCAGCAAATTCAAATGTGCAAAAAATTTGCAAATTTTTTTAAAACCTAAATTTAAAATAACTGTTAAATTTAGAATAGTGGATATCGAAATTTTAAGGCTAAGCTTGATCATCTCTTTTTCCTAATCTCGAGACTAACCTAATCTTGTACTTGTATCCCTGAAAAGTGTTTAAAATTCAACCAATCAGAGTCGCGAATATGAAACCGATAAATTTGAAATTTTGTGCGATATTTAAGATTAAAAACAGAAACGGGAGGGACTCTCTAATTTAGAAAAACCGGTTTTGATTTTTCTCTACTATATCCAGGAAAGAGTGGTTTAGGAAGAAAATCAAAAGTGTGTCCAGTGGAAACTCAGATTAAGTAATCGGGATTAAGTATATCTCATTCTAAAGATTTCAGCTCCTGGTTGGGTTTGATTTAGTCTGGTATAGGTAAAATAAGGCATTTAGGCAGTATGCCTGAAAACTCAGACGGTTGGTATAAGGCCCAGCTAAAGTTAGTGGCATGTTTTAGTTAGAAAAGCCAGAAAATTTGAGCTTCCTAGATCAAACACTTTTTGAGCTATCTAGGCTAAGCTTGTGATTTATACTCTAGGCTAAGCTTGTGATTTATACTCTAGTAAGCTCGTGATTTATACTCTAGGCTAAGCTCGTGATTTATACTCTAGGCTAAGCTTGTGATTTATACTCTAGGCTAAGCTTGTGATTTATACTCTAGGCTAAGCTCGTGATTTATACTCTAGGCTAAGCTTGTGATTTATACTCTAGGCTAAGCTTGTGATTTATACTCTAGGCTAAGCTTGTGATTTATACTTTAGGCTAAGCTTGTGATTTATACTCTAGTCTAAGCTTGTGATTTATATTACAAAAATATTAACATTAAAAAACAAAAATATTAAAAGTCTGTAACAAATAAAGTATTTTATGGCTAACAGAATTGTCCAGAAGTCTAAATAGGTTTCTTTATGTTCTTTAACCTGCAATAAAAGAAACAGTAAAAGTTGCACATGACAACAAACAAAGTTCACAATTTTACCCAACACGTCAAATATACACAACACGTCAAATTTACACAACACGTCAAATATACCAAACA